AGCTCAAATTTCGTATTATGTAATGTATTTTTCTTCAATGGGTTTTGGTTCAATGGGATTTTGTACGATGGGATTTTGTACGATGGGCTTTTGTACGATGGGTTTTCGTACGATGGGTTTTCGTACGATGGGTTCCTGCTTCCGATGAATCTGCATTTGATTACTTTGGAACTTCGATTAACGGATTTGACAGTTTGTTTGACGGAGATGACTATCGATTTGATTACTTCGACATTTTGAATACCAAGTTTGAGCAACAAATTTGACACATTTTGTTCGATGAATTTTGTCACATATTTGACTCCATAGTTACTAGCTCTCGCTCCGTTAATTAAGCAAGAAGTCTGCTTGGAAGAATCTTTACCAAGGGTCTGAGTACAGAGCAAATGCAAGAGGTCTGTACCCACAACCAAGGTCAATATTCTCCCATACAGATTGATCAAGCCTAGCTATTAGGAGTTAATTACATAGCCTTACAAGAAAAGTTCAGTTCACTGACGTAATTATTCATTGTTTGCGACTAGTCTGGTGCGAGTGCTTTCATTTTGTCCCAGTCAAGTCAGACTAGCCATGAAAAAAAGTTCATTGTCAATACTGTAATCATACTAATCAGAATAAAAGAGAGAACATGGGAATTCAGAAATTCAAAAAGGAGTTTGGTAGTTAAATAGCCTCTCAATCTCCCAAATGGTAACTTATAAAATGTTAGGAGAATTTGTTCTTCGATATAAGCTGTTGGCAATAATATATTACCCTACAGTTGAACCTCAATTTAACGAACTTGCTAGGAACTGGAGCGATTAGTCCATTAAATCAAGGGTTTGTTATATCGAAAAACAAACAAAACAAACAAACTAAAAGAGTGGTCTTGGCAAATTTTTGTCTACTTTTAATAAACGTGTCTTCTTTACAACAAGTGGCAATCAAACATACACAAAGTAATCTATTTTGGCTGTATCGACTTATGGCAATATGTTTCGCCTCCCGCCCCTCCATTTACACAGAATTTAGGCCAAGACTGTACTTCTCAAAAACATCCTGTGCATGGGCTGGGATTATATGACCAAAGGTCCATGTAGTTGGTGTTACAGTTGAAAATAAGGCCTTCGCCCGGAAGAAGTTCAAACAAGAATTCTTTAGTGACACTAAATCCTGGGAGTTAACTTTGACAACCCTACAAAAAAGGGAAACACTTTGTCTCAACTGAATCCCAGTGTAAGCAAAGACATGTAGTAAAAATGTCTGATGAGCCGAGTCTAAAGACTTTTTCAAAGCATCAATGAGATGCATGAAATTCTTTAAAAAAAGCCTTGAATCCTGACCTGTAAATCTGTACCGAAAGTCTACACCAGCCCCACTTGTCTCGTTAAACCAACGCTTGACCCTGTTCGCAAGCCTTGTCAAACCCTTTTTTTCAAGGCTGTGCACCAGTTTTTTGAATGGGGAAGCTACAGGAACAGAATCAAACTGTATCACTGTTGCTGGAAGGCCTGATTTCCCAATACTCTCATAAAGAATTTGCTTGAAAAGTTGTTGAGAGGCATTATTTTTGGAATGAAGGGGTTCCACATGTACCCTGTCTATAAAATCACCAATAAGAGGCTCAAATTCCTGTCTACTTTTCTGGGAAGCTATGAAAACTGTTACTTTCTTCATTTTGGTTTTAGCAGAAATGTTCTGCCTCTCAACTTTCTCTTTGACTTTCTTAACCTCTTTTCAAACTTTTAACCTACTGCTATAGCGCCATGGTTGCCACTTGTGTTGATTCCCCTTTCCAAACGTCCCCTTTGGATCATCATAGTCCCCAGTGCTTACATTGCCAAAAGTCGAAAAAAATTTAGCAGACACAGGAAGCTCCCCAGCCAAAAAAGCTAACATCTTTAAGTCATTAGGGAATTCAGAAAACTTGAACCTAAATTCCCTACCACTAATACCGTAGTTCTTTTTCTCTATAACTAACATTTCCTTCAAAAGATAAGACACATAACGTCGGACCACAACTGAGTCCTCCTCAGAGCAATTCGCTCCAAATATCATAAAGTTTTCGTTGCTACTCAAAACACGTTTGCCCCTATTCAGGAAGCTCACTAACCATGCACATGCTGTGTCCTCTTTCCCGAAAGGGGCCCCATCCCCTCCTAAGACTACCTGGAAAGTGTTTACTTCACCAAACCAAAGTAATTCTTCACCTGCTTCCTTTTCTAATTCTAAGTAAAATAAAGCCAGCAGTGGGAGAAACTGCAAGAGGGGCCGAAAACAACCGCTTACTTTTTCACAATCTTCAAGATCTTTACAGAATTGTTCTCTGACATCTACTGTTTTGCCAATGTCAATAGAATTAACTTGATCAATCAACTTATTGTATGGCAAAAGGCGAGGGACCTTACAGCCCATAACTTTAATCCGCTCTAGCTTAGAACCCCTCAGGTGACTTTTTCTCATTGAGAGAGCTTTGCGTGTAGCTCTGTACTTTCTCTTCCCCATTACACCTTTTGAAAAATAAGTAGCAATACTGCGTAACATGTTTTCTTGTGAGCCTTCGAAAGCATCTATCTCCTTGTTGTAAAAATCTGGAAAAACCTGGGTGCATAACTTTCGTTTCCTTGAAATTAAACTTGATAATGTTTTTCTCGAAAACTTAGTCTCTAGAACATCGACTAAACCAGCAGCAGCCGGTTTGCTATCCTTGGTTTTTCCCCCATGAATTTTGAGTAAAAACCTCAAATGTTTCTGCACGCCTCTTTGCAAGGGTTCTCTCCTTTATCTTGATATTCCCTTCTTGATCACAAGTTGCTTGTCTGATGCTGCTGACTGCTGATGAACTAACTGATACCTGGCTACGCTGGCAATCTAACTGACTCATCTTGACCTTCTCTGTTACTTTAGCTACCTAGCATATTTCAATTTATCAAAAAGCAAATCAGTCACTACAAATTCTCAAAGTTCAAAGAAATGATGTAAAAAAAACACACTATGTACAGCAATCATTCATTCTGTTCTAAGTCAACAAACTTGGTTTTAAAGCAATCATATTCACCCCTGGCCATTCACATCCAAAGAATACAACCAATAATCTTAACTTGCCAGTGTAAAAACTAGGTATTTAGTTTTTCGCTGTCTCTGGTAAAAATAAATATTTAACTTTTCAAACTACTGTACGGAACATATTTTGTTCCATGAACTTGTGTTAAGCATATCAAACATGATTGTCAAAACATTGATACTTAAGCTTACAGGAAAATACTATTTTCATAAGATATTACTTCAGGATCTAGCTCAATGCACAAAAATCTGTCGATTAGAAAGAGGAATATGACCTTACCTTCAAGTCTCCGTCGTTTTGCCATAAGAGATTCAACATTTTTCTTCAATGCTGCTACCGATTTGTGAGCAGCTGCTATCTGCTACTGAGCTGTCTTCCGGGCTTTCATCATTGCTCCAACACAGAATCGCGAGTAAACTTTCTTCTTACGTAAGGCCATACTGCCTGTAGAGCACATCAAACGAAAATGTGTATTACGCTTTCACTGAGCAAAGTTCTTAGGAAAGCACGGCAAGTTTGGTATCATTTGAAAGGTTAGCATCTCGACTACTTCCATGTGGGAAAATCTTTGCTCTTTGGACGCTTGGAACTGTGGTAATTTACATAAATTAGCATACATTTTAAAACCAAGTGGGGCCCTCATGTGGACCCCCACGGGAAAAGAAAATCGACGCCATCTTTTGAGCGCCTGTGTGCCCACCGTGCTCGTTCGAAAGTGAAAGTGAAAGTGCTCGTATTGCGTTATACTTCCCCTTGTATGCTCTACCTACAGATATTTAAACGTCCTAAACGAAAATTGCCGAGATCTATTAAGTGAACTGCCGTGCTCCGCCGAATGGACTTAATTTCCGGGTATGTATAAACAATCACTTAAATTCACTTGTTGAACGACATTACTTCAGATCGCATCGAATTCGTCGCTGAAAATTAATTGATTACGCTATTTCGTTGAAGTCTAAATGATAGTGCTCAAGACCACTTTAGACGTCTCAAACAACACCCTAAAAGCGTTTTGTTTTCATATAATGACGAACAGTCACTGTCTGTGCACTCTAAAGGACACCGGCCAAGACCTTCAAGAATTCGAACTCATTGTTGCTTAGAACTAACTTAATTGATAGTCATAGAGACTATTCAGTATACTAATTATCCCTTTCCGCCAACACATACTAAGCATGACAATCCACTTTATCGCTTATTCACCCAAAGAACTGAAGTGGCAAAACTACGAAATTAACTGCATACATCAACATGCAACCGTTTGGGCATTCAAAGAAGTTAAGCCATCCACTTAACTTCCGCACTAACTTTGTCGAGTCGCAGGGACCAAAAGATATTTAACGCGAGAGCTGCAAACAGTTCTCTTCCTTTAACTTTCCTTACATCCAATTTCACTTATTTACTAGTCTTCAAGACGATGGAAAATTTCTTGTCTCAAGTAAAAGAGGTATGATTGAGAAAATTGTCAAACTTGTGTGACTCTAATGACCAATTCAATGGGCCCAGACGTGCTTACTAATCGATTGTTTCCCATCTTCAGGCGTCTAAGGAGATCACGACAGATCTTACTGAGGCATTTACGAGTTTGGCTGAAGAGGTCTTCGAAACCGAAGCCCATGATGACATTCCGCCAACTCCTCCGACAGATGATGACAACATTTGGATTCGGGAATGCGACGAAAAGGAATTAAGAGGTTAGAATTTAGAGTTTTGATTCTACCAACAGGATACACCTTCATTCTCATGGGTCATAATAGTAATGATGTGTTTTAATTGGTGGCAGGACCTTAGTGTAACGGCAGCGATTTTAACATGATTTTAAGTAGACTTAAGTCTTCCCACCTTTTTAACCGGGAGCATTCTTGGATCAAAGAACTAAACGCGACACGACACAGATTGATAAGTTAAGATGAAAGCGCATGGTAATTTGACTGGGGAAACTGACATTTTTTACCGCCTTTGTTCAGTCATAGCAATGGATTACAGCAATGAGGCTGTTACCAAACTTGAAAAAGGCCAACTAGCTGCTGCAGCTGAGTCCTTCACAATGGGAATTAGACTAAAATGTAGGGATGAAAACCTCAATGCGACAATGTACTCTATGAGAGCAAAGGTGCATTTGTATTTGGGTAAGAATGAAATTGCTAATTCATGTGATATGATATACTTTTAGATATAATTTGTTGTTGTTATTTTTTTGTGTGATAAAAATTATTAAAAGTTCTTAGTAAAAAATGTTGTTTTACAGAGCTTAATCAGTACAAGGGTGCGCGTAGATATGGATTTTCATTGAGTATTCAACTTTGTATCTCACGAGTGAGCACAACCAATGAGTGAGATCCAGAGTTGACTACGAGAAGAAAAATTTTATATCCCACAAGCAACCTTGTGTGACCTTATGATTTATCTTATAAACACCATAGACCTTTGCTGACACTATTAACCTTTACTGATAAGAAAAAGTCGACTGTATCAAAGGCTCCTCAGAACGACCTCATGGTATGTCTTAATTTGACTTTTGAGAGCTTTAACCATTTCCCTTCTCTTTCTCAAATTAATCGATTATGCATGAGGTAATCAATCTCATGTGTGTCCCAATTTGGGTCACATGGATGCTCTTTGATCCCCGGTAGAGAAAGTCGAACGCTTGAGCATGCATGTTTGGATATCCAAACACTTGTGTTCGGAAATCTATTACCTACGTCTTGGACGGCCCTTGCCTTGAAGCCAGAAATTTAGGGAAAGGCTGTCCAGGTCTTCCAACCTCTCTTCAAGACGCTGCACTAGGTGAACATCAAGGAAATCTTTCTGGCACACAAATTGGTAATTTCGGAAAAGATCAATAGCCCGCTTGTCTTTGTACTGTGCACTTTTAGGCTTCGAAAGTTCGAGCAAAGAAATATCATCATGGCAGCTTTTGGTAGTCGAAACCGCCGGTAAGACTTATCCCGCGAGGGTCCTCTGTACCCCTTTTAAAAATCCTTCACGGAAAGATATTTGATCTTTTGACGCATCACGAATAATAATCAAGTTTTTTTTACGTTCACGCAAAATTCGAGACGATTATGTTTCACATAGAAATGAAAATAGGCAGTTAAGACTGCATATGGCTACTGCTGCCGCATCCCACACATTTATGAGTACCCTGTACGACGAGAGAAAGATCAATCAAGAATATAGTGACTGATTGACATTCAACCAACAATAATCAAACGGCGACAGAAAACCATAGCAACAGTTTTGATAATAAAAATGATAATAATGATAATAATAATAGTAATAATAATAATGATAACAATAGTAATAGTATTGATAACTTACAGGGCTTAGCTCAAGAACCTCACTGTTCCTCTATCGATCTATTCTCTAAACTCAATAACCATTAAACCAGGCTTCTTTTAATTTTAATTTTTTTAGTTAATTATATAGCGTTTTTTTAGTTCATTTCAATTCCATTTTTGTGAGACTTTTGTTTCATACAATTTAGCATTCCGTGTTGTATAATATTCCGCTGTCCTCCATATCAGCGTTCCTTAAGGTCTCGGTTAACCTCGAACCTTGCTCGCTTCGTAAATTCATCCACTTTTCTGGGCATTTGTCACTGACTGAAATAGTAAAATGCTCTCTTTTCGAATAAATCAAGTTTTTCTTCAAAGTTTCCACGATGTGCACATCAAACTTATTCAGATATTTTTGAAAGGAAGTCTTTTTTCAATTACGTGCCGCAGACGCCACTGTGAAATTATATTGAGATGTTTATCATCTTTTGTGGGGTGTTACGAAAACTAAGACCCTCGCAAACGAAGACATAAGACCTAAGACCCGCCTTAAACGAAAACTAAGACCCCTAAAATCGATTCCGTCGAGATATAAAGTCAAATTGTGACCAAAACAGGTGCAATCGGACGTATACAAAACATGGACCGGGGTCCATGGACCACACCTATGGACCCGGTCCATGGACTACCCCTAATTTTTGAAAAGGAGATCGCCCCTGTTAATTTAATTACAGGAGGTCAGGGTATGAAAAACACGGACTCGTATTTATCGCGCCCCCATAAATGGGAAGACCATAAACTCGTTTTGAGATACAGAAGATCGATTGCATTTCTACCCCCAATATTTTCATTCCAACACTTCCAAATTGCAAGTCGATCGCGAAGACACCCCCACCCCGCTTATTATACTCTATCGTGCATAAAAGTAAGCCGATTTATTTTATAAGCGAAGTTTACCCTACGAACACAAAGTTTTAATCAAGGTATATTGGTGAAAACGTTTAATGGATAGCTTGTAATTTTAATGAGAGAGCACAGAATCATTTAGTTTCCGTATTAAACGAAGCGTAACCTTGGAGGGGGTAGGTTGCCGGATAACATAAACCCGCTCCAGCCCCTTCGCGCTCCCTCATCCAAGATGGCAGCTGCCTTGAAACGATCCAAAGGTCAGGTGAGTATTTATTGCAAAGGGACATCCAAAATTGTAAAATAACGACACTTTCCCTTCTCACATTCCTCCATGTTTCCCACATGTACGACAAAGCTCAGTTCCAGTGGTGTGGTCCACAGGGGTGGTCCATGAAACGGGTCCACAGGGGTGGTCCATGGACCGGGTCCATATGGGTGGTCCATGGACCCCGGTCCATGTTTTGTATACGTCCGGTCTAATCTGTCAAATTATCTTCTGTCCGATACTTTTCACCGAGTTTTAGGTCAATTTTAACAGTAAATTTAGGAGTCTTAGTTTTCGTAATCTCGAAAACTAAGACCCCTCTTAGTTTTCGTAACTACGAAAACTATGACCCCCACCAAACTAGTCTGTCAAATGTCTACAAAGTCGAATTACGACCGTTCAAAGACTATAATCCGTAAAACAACCAAAAACTACAATCGTACGCGTGCTAGACGAGCCGCATACATTACCTACGTATAATTGTACACTGAAAATATGCCTTACCCCAATTGATCTTTAATTTTGTTGTTTATCCTTTACATCATAAAATATTGGCTTTCCATTGGAGATGGATGTTTTCCTACGTGTCTCGGCGATCGAGATTGCGTTACCTGTGACAGTGCTGAATAACTTATGCACACGCGCTAGGTTTTGGCGGATTGCGCGTGGACATTAAATTAAGAGCCCACAGAAAGCTCATATTCGATAATTAATCCGGTTAGATTTCCCGTGTTACTGCAACATCACGAAGCGAAGAAATGTGACAAAAAAAGCGAAGAAAAAACGTGATGTCTTCACGAATGGTTTCACAACAGGGGTTGTAATCTAGTTGTCAAGGAAACTCTCCTGCGAAGTCTAAGGTCCAGACAATAAAATTTCCCTGGCAGAATCGGTCACAATTACTGACTTCTACGTTTTGCCGACTCGTCATTTGTATTTTAACTCGCCCTACGGGCTCGTCAAAATATGGCACAACTCGTAAAAATACTCAGCGATACTACACAACAAAACGTTTAATAAGTCATTTATTATCCAACACGTCAAACTGTTATTTCAGTGCGGGCGAATTGCGCAGATATTTATTTACGGGGAGTGCATGACAGAAGTATGCGAGGCGGAACGGAATTGGCGTCTTGTCGTGTTGCTGTTTCTATTTTCTTCGATAAGTGAAGAAATTTCCTGGTCGTCTAGCTGTTTTTCTTCGTTCGATTCACCTTGGATCTATATTTCCCAGCCATCCTGACTCTTTGTAGTCGGAAATATGATTAAAATTGTCCGCTATTTTCTTTTTTCGTAACTACAATCCAATACTTCGCTGGCGCGATGTGTGAAAACCTGTTTAACCGGTACTCTAGAGTACAAATACCGCGTGATATTTGTACTCGTCTATGGCGTTATTTGTACTCTGCGAAATGTGGTTGGATAATAAGAGAATTATTATCCAACACACCAAATTGTTATTTTAGTGCCGGAGAATTTCGCGGATATTTCTGGAGTACGAATATTTGTGCTCGTCTCGCGCGTCATTTGTACTCTACAAAGGACAATTGGATAATAATCTGAAATACTGTGAGTTTTTATCAAACGTGGACCTTCAGGAATTTATTTTAAATTAATAGAAGGCGTAGCGCATCTCCTTTTACGAATCCTTTCGGCTTTGCGCCTGATGAATGACACGAATAAAAATTCAAGTATTGAAAAAAATGATGCGTTTGGAGGACGGCTAAGGGTCGATTCCTTGTTAAACCTCTCGCTTTCGTAAACTTTTGTGCCTAAGAATATTTCTGCGCCTGATATTTCAGCCGTAAATAGTGATTGTATCGTCGTACAATGTACAGAATCAAGAGGATATAATCCTTTGACAGAATGTACCTGTTTGCCAGTCCTGCAAAATCTTCTTTCTTTGTTTCCTTGGTTCTGTTCCACAGACCGAAAAGGGCGTCAACAGACCTCTTCCAAAGTGGCAATTAGTTGTGTTCTGGGTGAAAATACCCTTTTTCTACTTCTGCCATGACAATATTGGCAAAAGCTACAGCCGGTGTGTCTTATTCTTTGTCGTCTCCGTTCGGTTTGTGAGAAAAAGTATCAAGTTCCCACATTATTCTTTTAATTTGTCTTTGGTTATGTTTCGCAGACAGGAAACGTCGTTAATATACCACTTCCAAAGTAGCAATTTAATTGTACTATGGGTGATAACATCCTATTTCTATTTTTACCATGAATATATTAGCAAAAGCTATCGCCACTTAGCCCTATTATTTGCCGTTTTTGCTCGGTATGCGAGAAAAAAGTATCAAGTTCCTGGATAATATCAATGGCGTGCAGAGCACATTGGTTGAGTGTGGCCTTTTAACATCCTACATCTTAGTTACAGCTGATCTGTAGGACGGTCTTCACCTGTTGTCACCATCAAGCGTTGGCCCCACATGCGGCTTGTAAACAAAGCCAATTTCTGTAATTGGTTGCTGATTGATTGAGTCTTTGGGGGCGAAAGAGCTAGAACAACAGTATAGGAACAATAGTGTAGCTACAATTTTTTTTCTTTTTCTTTTTTGTTTTGTTTTGCTATGCAGCCAAAATGCTTAATAACACCTGAAAAAAGTTGAGATTTCAACGTTTAATTAAAAGTCAGACAAACTGACGGCCAGATTGGGTAAAAATATCGTAGAATAATGCCGGTCGAATTGATGCCGAAAGTTCAAACTGTGCCTGGGCAAGTGATTCATTCATTGTCAAGCCCATTCAGCTGACAAAACTCGCACAATCTCTCTCCATTGTCATTCCGTGTTCCAAGTCCATGTACGCCCATAGTCCTCTCATACCCTTTGTTATCATTTCCAACCTTTGCGTTGAGGTCCCCCATGACGATGATGATGTCATTCTTGATGCAACCGTCAACTGCTTCCTGTAGTTCTTGGTAGAACTGTTACTTCACCTCGTCTTCTCTTTCATTGTGTGGGTCGTACACTTGAATAATAGTCACTCTCCTGCAGCTTGAATAGAATCTGGCTGGTATGATCCTCTTGTTGATGGGGGTCCATTCCAGGAGTGACTTCACTGCTTCCTGGCTAATCATGATAGCGACACCACCCCCATGCAGTTCGTCGTCTCCGTTGTAAATCAGCGTCTGTCCCGAAGCCATCTTCATCCTGCCTGCTCCTGTCCACCTACACTCGCTAATTCCAAAGGATGTTCAGCCGGTGACCAATTACTTCTCATCAAAACTCCTACCTAGGCTATAAAAGCCATCTCTTGACTTCCAAAATAGGGATAAAATTTTTGTGCAATTGATTTTATTGTCCATGCCGACATGAATTCTTGATTTATTCGCATCCGCCCCGCTATCAACGACCGCCACTTTTTAGCGCCGAGTTAAACTGAAAAAAAATTTAGAAAATGTCTTCTCAGTCTCCCTTAATGGAATCAATATTAATATTTTTATTCTTGTAGGTTTTTCAATTCCTTTTTGATAGTTGAGATTTGAAAGAAAACATTGCTTGAACCTCTAATTTCATACTGTTTGGGAAAAGATTGCACCCTTGCTTCTGATTGCCGGCTAATAAACCTCAGCTTGTTTTTAGACAATATAGGGGAAGTTAGACGCTTCTAGGTCATAACCTTCTGATGCCCTGAAAACAGATTCAAATCAAAAGGACAATGCGACAAGTTTTATCACATTGAGCGATTAACAGACGAAAAATATCACTCTTATCGCTCGCTGAGAGCGATAAGAGTTGAAAATATCAAAATATCATAAGATAAAAATATCTTATCATGAATTACTGACTCTAACTTAAGTACTCGAGGAAGCAATGGCGACAATTTAAGTCTTGGGTAGGATAAATCTTCGAGCACGGAAAGTTGGTGGTAGTGTGCTGGTGCCACTAACGCAGTAGCATTAAAATTTGATCGGTCTTCTTCCAAACTGATCCCTCCTAAATGGATAACTTTGACATTGATACATTTGTAGCAGCGGAGCTACTACACTGATGCCCTTCGATTGTCCACACGTCGTACAATAAAAACAAACAACTTAGTTTATTGAAAGAATCACAGAGTTCGTTTACACGCAGCGATGGTTACTTTTGTTGGCTTCCTTTGTGGTTAGTGGATATAGAAACGATGAATAGAGCGATGAATAAAGCGGTAAATAGAGCGGTAAATAGAGCGGTAACGAAAACTACAAGAAAACAACAGAACCTAACATTACAAAGCGGGTACGAATATGCGATAAACAAGAAACAAATCTCTGAAATAAACAGGAAAACTCACATCTGTGTCCTAACTGTGATATAAAGCCTTCGATAGTCCTTTTAAACCATAGAAATGGAATCCTTGAACACTATTAACCTTGTAAAGCGCGACTGATTATCTATATAGTAGTTTGCGCTATGAAAATGTTAAATTGTTGTTGTTGTTGAAACTTAACTTAAACATTCAATTCAAAACCTTTCTCGGAAAAAACAAGCATCTTACAGTTTCGCTAGCGCGGTCATCCGCGACCTCCCTGTCCAGATCACCGCGGCAATAAAGACATTGCGCGTTTCGCTGCAACAACATTCTTGTGCCTGTAAGTGTTGTTACTGAGAAATTTTAGCGAACGAACGAAACATATCACAGACTGTTAAATAGTGTCTCTCCACGGATGAACACTATACCGTGACGTGATCAATTTAAACCAATAAGAATCTGAGAAAATCAAGTGGCGAACTATATGCATTGATAGTGTCCACAAGAAAATCGGGCGGGAGCCCAAAGTTGGCGCAAATACTAAGAATCGGATAGTACTCCTCCGTGAAAAATTTTGAATGGTTTGACGGCCACGAAGTTAGGCAGATCGGAAAAACAGTGACTTTTAAATTCTGACAGCATGGTATAATGTGTTATTTAGCCAATGTACGGTTGCGAATTATTGACCTTTGTGACAGGCTGTACGCATGAATAAATATTTGATTGATCTGCATTTATTGGGTTTTGACTGTTTTTCAACTGACGTGCGGAAGAAAATTGAGTGGTGAACAATAAAGACAACTAGCATATTTGCCCTCGAAGCTTCTCGGGCAAATATTTGTTTTAAGAACATCAAATTTCCAAGAGGCAACCGTCAGCTGATAGTTCCTTGATAGAAACATTCTACTGTTTAAATAAATCCATTGTCTAACAGATTAAAATCGTCTGATCAGGTGGGTGAATTTTGCTTCTTAGCTGAACCTCATGGTATGCCGTCGGTCATACTATGAGGTTAAAATCAAAATCAGAACAATTCGTCAAAACTGTGGTATGTTTTTACTTTATAGGACGTAAAGATGAAGCACTACGTGATGCAAAGGCGGCGAGGGAATTTAAACCATTACATCTAGAAGCCATAGAAATAGGTAGCTCTCCAAGAATTTCAAGTTCTCTTAACACGTCATATCAGTATAATGCGTTCAATTTTACTTAGCATGATATAGCTGGGGAAAGAGTTTCGCTTCAGCCTGAAAAGAGTTCCGTGTGCAAAATTGGGTCGGGGTTTTGACTACAGGGTGCCATATAAAAGTTATTATTTTAGGTATATTGAGCCTCAAGATTTGAACCACGCTTTCCGTATCCTCGGTCATTTTGCTCCTCGCACCAACTTTTATTTCGCATCCATAGGTGCAGAAACTTGTATTGAGGAAGTTATTATTTTAGGTATATTGAGCCTCAAGATTTGAACCACGCTTTCCGTATCCTCGGTCATTTTGCTCCTCGCACCAACTTTTATTTCGCATCCATAGGTGCAGAAACTTGTATTGAGGAAGTTATTATTTTAGGTATATTGAGCCTCAAGATTTGAACCACGCTTTCCGTATCCTCGGTCATTTTGCTCCTCGCACCAACTTTTATTTCGCATCCATAGGTGCAGAAACTTGTATTGAGGAAGTTATTATTTTAGGTATATTGAGCCTCAAGATTTGAACCACGCTTTCCGTATCCTCGGTCATTTTGCTCCTCGCACCAACTTTTATTTCGCATCCATAGGTGCAGAAACTTGTATTGAGGAAGTTATTATTTTAGGTATATTGAGCCTCAAGATTTGAACCACGCTTTCCGTATCCTCGGTCATTTTGCTCCTCGCACCAACTTTTATTTCGCATCCATAGGTGCAGAAACTTGTATTGAGGAAGTTATTATTTTAGGTATATTGAGCCTCAAGATTTGAACCACGCTTTCCGTATCCTCGGTCATTTTGCTCCTCGCACCAACTTTTATTTCGCATCCATAGGTGCAGAAACTTGTATTGAGGAAG